AAAATTGAAAAGAAACTTGTTATTGGAGGTTGAGTTTAACCTCTCCATTTGGGAACCCTCTCAGCCCATTCCATATGTGATGTTGGATCCTTAGGGAGCCTCACATCCTCGTTCTTATTTTTCTGCAGGAAAAGACACAGTGCAGAGTCATCGGTAGTACAGAACACGAATGTGCAAAAATTGAAAATCAGCCTTGTGTAAACATTGTCAAATTAGAAGTGATTAACTACATTTACTGTACATTTTCTCTAATCTTTTAATATAATCTTTTCATTTTTCAAAGTATTTTTTTTTAATATTAAAAGGCTAAAGGCTGGGGGTATAGCTCAGGGGTAGAGCATTTGCCTAGTTGCACAAGGCCCTGGATTCCAACCCAGCATCACACACACACACACACACACACACACACACACACACTCACAAACATACATAAATATTAATATTCATAAGTCACCTGATTTATAAATGAAGTTATAAAAACACTTAATATTCCTTACGATGTTCCTAATTGTCTCTTTTTAAAATCATAACTTATGATTTAAAAGTAAAAAATAGAAACTGTCTTGGCCTTTGTGTCTTTGGGGCAGTAGCACCTTGCTGTTCCGGGTCCCCTGTTGAATAAGAAGCCTTCAGTCAGTCCTTCAGCACCTTTTCTTCTTACAGGAATATTTATAAGGGAAACTCACCAGTGGGCTTATCCGTCCTGATGTAAGGGTTCACACGTTATGTAAGACCTTCATCAGAAACGTGTCATAAGAAGTAGTGTCAGTTAGCATGTGCGGTTAAGTACAGCAAGATCTATCCTTTTGCTTGTCCTCAACAACAACAACAAAGGTTTTTTTTCCCCAGATCCTTGCCTTCAGACAAACCATCTCTGAAGATGACTCTTGCAGAAAGGGGGTAGAGCTGTTTTCCTGTTCAGAGAGGACTCTGTGTGGACATTGACTTCCCCTTGGACACAGTGGGTGAAGGATGGTGATCAGCCTTGAGTCATTGTGCTGGAGACTCCGCTAACTTTTCTCCAAGTGCAGAGCTATGAGAATACCATCCATCTATCTATGGCAATTAAGAACATTGAAGGACAGTCCCAAAGCTGCCTTGTGTCCTGCTAGACAAACATAAGAGTTTGATATTAAGCCTGGGAAAAGAGAAATAACCTTATTTTTTTTTCCTGTAATTTTACCTTCAAGAGGCTGGTTAATTAACCCAGCTGCCCAGGGTCCTCTCTGAATGGAATCTCATCCTTGATCTGTCACTTCGTCTTCCATTCACTCAAGAACCCACTACGACCCGGCTACCTGCCTGGAGTGGTTCTTCTTCAAAGATAGTTGTACAGATATATAATCAACTTTTGATTATTTGGATTCCTTATGACTTAAGAAAGGTTTTCTTTTTTCTTTTTTTCTTTTTCTTTCTTTCTTTCTTTTTTTTTTTTTAGAGATCCATTGCCAAGGATAATTTGAAAATCATGAGATAATTTGAGCATCACCACTCAAGAGATATTAGACCTTGGGTAAATTACTTCACCTTGCTGAGCCCCAGTTCATTGAGGGACAGAATGACCTCCTTAGAAGAGATATTGGGGGTGGGTATAAAAGGTCAAGTAAGTAAAGAATATGGCTCAGTGGATGATACCAGTTGTTGGTGTTGCCCGGTATTGATTCCTTCCCTCCTGGCTCCCACTGTCCTCTCTCTGTCCCCACTCCCCAACCTGGGTGTACGGATGCTACACACAAGCTCTGGGTTCAGCAGCTGTTAACTCTGCCTGGATGAGAGTCCTTGTGGGGGCAGCATCTTCAACTCTTTTAGGTCCACCTTGCATTCTCCTAGGTTCCCTTGAATTGAGATACCTGTTATGTGGAGTCTCCTTCCTCTTTTGGGAGGGTGCGTTGCACCTTTCAGACTTTCAAGGAACTTTGCTCATGCCAGCAGTTAAGCCTGTTTGTATTGACAGGGACTTGTTTACCTTTGTCTCTATCCCAGACCCAGGGGATAAGGAGCAAAAATGGGCATAACATATCCCTAGGACAACAAATGCAGTGTGGAAAGGAAATACTTTTCCTTTAGTGATGTTGCTAGTAGCATTGTTCCTAAAAAATAGAACCCACTTCAGCTCCCTTGGTGAAGAATCGAGAGTTTGCTTTTGGGGGGACTGTCAGCTTGATTCAGAAGAAAAATTGCAGCTCCACAAAATATATCCCCCCACCCCAGCTCCTCCAGGAATTTCTGCCTTAATCTTCTTGGGGAAGGGACAAGGTAAGCTGCACTAAGCAAGAATTGGTGCTGTCATTCAGTCACTCCTCTGTGGCCAGGGTCCTCAAGGCATCTACCTTGGCTCCTCAGTGACTCTAAACCAGGAAGCAGGTCATCTCACCTGAGGAACAACTGGTGCTCTCCTAGAGGCCAGAGGTGACATTGTAGTGTGTTCACAACTCCTTATGGTCCTCATCTATTTCCTTAGGGATTATTGAGTTTGTGAAATTAAATTGAATTAGAATGGTAGCTCCAAGGGATTCATTAAGTGACTACAGCATCTGCAGGACAGCGTTGTGAGGATTGGTTTCACAGCTCACAAGCAAGTTGTACCAAGCAAGAGTGTTAGTTCAGAGGAAGAGATTTTATCTTATTCATGATTGCTAAGAAGTCAGCAACGCCATCCTAAAGAGAATGAAATGCTGTAAGTCGGCCAGGCCGGGCATGCTGGCATTCCAAAGCCCAGCCAGATGGGGACTATTAATCTATAGGAGCTGATCTAGCCCCTTTCTTGGCCTCATTCATCTTGATGTTTTGAGGCATCCTTGAAGCCATCTTAATAAAAATGAAGAGTGAGCACTTGAATGTCTGGTGGTGGCATAACTGGTTCCCGGGGCCATTAGAATTCAACCATGCATCCAAATACTGCTTTCTGGGTCTCAGAAAATACTGATTAATAAATTATGAACTTGTCATCCTTAAAAATCCAGTATTTCAGCGTTCTTGTACCTTATAGTATTTTGCTAAATCACATTTGATTGGCACAGAGGGAAAAATGAATACCAAGACATGATGAATATGTTTTTATTATGAATACATAGCATTAGCTTAACCCTTTTCAGTTTTTGAATAATCCTGACAAATATTAAAAAGGAAGTCCATAGAAATAATTTATTCAAATAACATGAGAAAATAAGAAATCACTTCTTAAACACTTGTTCAGTATTGTAACATGGCTTAAGTCAGCATTTTATAAGAAATAAATTTACTTTTTAATGAATGTTTTGTTAGTCAATTTTAAGGATTTGATATATCATGGGAATTTTTGTATCTGTATCTCTACAGGCTCCATGATATTCTGTTGTCTATACTTTTAATTAATGAAAAGGGAATATTAATTCTTATGACAACTAGAAGTTTCCTTTGTAATTTCCTTGACTCAGAAAGGAGTAATGTGTTTCTCAGATATATTATTTTGGTACTTTCTACAAAGCTTAACCTTTGAAATAATCATCAGATTATAGCGAAGTGAACTTGGAAATATGAGCATAACTCTTCTACAAAACTTTCTGATGGATTTTTTCCCTTCCATTATTTAAAATGTTTGAGAGAGTTGGTTTGGGATTATTTTTGCTTTTCTTGATGTTACAAAAATTCACTTTTGGAGTACCTTTACTATCTTTTTGCAGAAAGATTCTCTATCATGCCCTATGGTAGAAAGCACATGAAGACCAGTCAGTCATTTTTAATACAGTCTTTCAGATATAAATGTGGAATAAAGTGGGGAATGAAAGCAGCCTTTGTTGACAAAATGCTTTAACATTATGCCTAGTGCATGTGCATTTGAGGTGTTATCAGTTGCAGAGATCATATAACAAACATTTGCGTGTCACTGTAACCACTGGAAGAGAATGAAATGGGGGAGAGCGGGCTCCCTACTGGGATGTTTGGTCCTGGAGGTGAGTGCTTGACAATCAGGCATGCCATTCCAGAGATTGAATGCCACTTGGAAGGTGGCTTTTTTTTTTTTTTAAGGAAAATTATAACTTTATCCTGCTCTTTTATTTGTTTGTTTCAGTTGTAGATAGACACAGTACCTTTGTTTTATTTATTTTTTTATGTGGTGTTAAGGATCGAACCCAATGCCTCACATGCACTGGGCACTCTACCACTGAACTACAGCCCCAAGCACTCTATCACTGAGCTACAACCCCAGCCCTGGATGGTGGCTTTTTATGATAATTTTTGTAGTCTGTTTATTCAGAGTTCACTTAAATTCTAAACAGAGTTTATTGTTGGGGATTTGTCAGGCCATTTCTTTCATTAAGTTGAGTAAATAAAGTAGATGTCGCATTTTGCAAATTCAAGAGATCCTTGCAATACGTGTTTTTAACTTGAGGCAGAGATAAGTCATCTACCCTGGTAAAACACTCACTGTAAAATAAGTTAATAGACCTTTTTGTAAAGTAGGCTATTTTAGCAGGATTGTTCTCCATTCCTCTAGTCCTTCTCTCTCCACCCAAATCCCCAAAAGAAAAGGCCCTTAATTAGAAGCTCATTGTCTACAAAAAATTAATTTTCCTTGCTCTTCTGTAATTTTAAAATTACATTGTGTTCTGCTTGGAATGAAAGGAGGTTTATAACCTTGTAACCTATGATCTTTCGTGCCATTTTCCTTTTTGAAAACCTTCTCTAAGAGTCTGAGCATCGACCCACTCATAATGTTGTGTTATCTCTCACATTATTATAAATAAACTATAAGAAGAATTTTCAGATGAAAATTTGGTCATGCTTTGAAATGCTAAATAGACAGTTCAGAAAATTATTCTTCAGTTGAGGAAGAAAATTCCATTTTTCCAAAAACCAGTGCTATGTAAGACAATTGTTTTGTATTTATGAGGGCTCTTAAGTTTGAATTATCAGGAATTTTCTTCTATTCGTTATTGCTCTTGTGTTTATGTACCCAGGTGTATATTAATTTGAGAAAACAACTAATATTCAGTTTCACATTTGAAAAATTTCTCTAGTACTGAAAGAGCTTTTTGGTCTTTATTCTCTGTGGTAATCCGAGCCCTCTAACACAGTAAAACCAGAAGCTTGAACAAGAACCAATCCTGTTCACAGAAGCACAAAGAAAGAGGAAGGGAACATAGGGAGCCATTTCCCTGCACAGCACTGGTGGGTTTGAAGTCTTCTCTGATGAAAGGAGTAGCTGCAAATGTCTGTGGGCCAAGCTGCTTGTCTGTGATGGTGGCCCTCGCGGTATACATTTTATAAGCTAGTGTTCCAGTCACTAAAAGCGACTGCAATATTGTTAGCCATAAAGATTGGCATGAGGGAATTGCGCTCTTCACAGACCAGCAGGGAACATCTGAGGAACATCTTGAAAGGCCTTCTGACCTCTTCATCTTGGATGTCCTTTTTATTGCCTCCCACAGGTGAAAACTTGCTCAAGTCTTTATCCTTTCCAAACATCAACAACACCTTGTGTAGAAAAGAAACCATAGGTCTTTAAAAGCTGGTATAGATGTTTCAAATTAAGTTATTCTTCTCTCTCTGTCTCTCTCTCTCATACCGCACACAAACCAAACAAGCAAACCGAATGTCACTTCAGTAGACATGAGCCTGGGTCATTTTGAAATAAAAAAAAATTTGCTTTGCATCAATCTATGTTATTTTAAAACTGCTCAAAGACAGCATTTCCCTTTTTCTCACCAGCAGCATGTGAAAACTAAGTTCTTTTATGGGTCCCCTGTAGTGCTCCCAAGTACTCCTTGTGGGGGAGTCTAAGCGTGGAGCCTCTGGATTGTATTGGAACACAGCTCATCTGCCAATAATCCTTCAATGCTAAGAAGTGAGAAGCAGAAGAAGGCCCTTCCTTTAATGATCAATCCCAAGGGGGCATGACCTTGAAGATCCCTTCCAACTCTATTATTTTCTGACAGTATATAATGAGAAGATAGTGGTGCAAGATGCTGAGAGCTTAAGAAAAAAGAATGAGGGGTTAACTGCCTGCAGCCCTCTTCTATTTATGGGAAAAGTAATCAAACCACATTAAAGGCTTTTGCAAATATTTGCATAATTCCTTTGTAGCAGAAAGGGAAGGATGTTTGTATTTGGATAAGAGTTTTAAAGAGGGTAGAGTATCTGAGCTGGATGGAGTGGCCCAAGCCTGTGATCCCAGCTAACTTCAGAGACAGAGGTAGGAGGATCATGAATTGGAGGCCAACCTGGGAATGTAGACAGAACCTGTTTCCAAAAAAAAAAAAAAAAAAAAAAAAAAAAAAGTGGGGAGCTGACAGAGGTGGAATCCTGTGGTTTTGGCCACATGACCTGTTGAATATTTTTAAGTGTTTGTTCAGCCCACAGGACTCAAACCTGTAGAGGGAATTCTAGATGATTATCATGACATCATTTCCATACAGTTAAGTACATTTCCCTGAAATGCTCATGTGTGAAGCTCCTTGGCAACTAGACTTGGGAATATTTGGGTTTAAACTCTCTACCGAGAGTGGCTTAGAGCCCTGCTCAATTTTGGGGGAGAATTTCTCTTAAGATTTTTGAAATCCTGTTTGCCTTTGTGAAAAGCAGGAGGGGAACACAACAGTGAGAGTGTTGGTATCCTGTGTCTTAGAGAATTGAAAATTTGCAGTTGGTTTCTGATTCTCAAAGCAGTTTTCCTTTCATAGGTGGAAGTTTTCATAATGCATACGATGGGAAGTCAAGGGAAATGGCAAGTATCACCCACACAGGGGAGAGTGACATTTCAATATTCAGTGACTTAGTATATTGTGTACTACTGGAGACCTATAAAAAAAAAGTGACGGGGTTGAGGTTCTAGGCACAGTAAGGCTTTAACAACAGGCTAGTAAATGTGAAAGGAAAAGGGCTTATTCTGGAGAAGAGAAGGCTTAGGTTCATAATGGCTTTCAAATACAGGAATTAGAAATCTCCCTCCCTAGGGGGAAAAATCCTTTGAAAAGGTACTGCATTTAAGCCACAATTTTAGAATATTAGCTATGTAAGTGTTTCCTAAATTGGTAAGCCTGGAATGAATTATCAAGAGAGGGGCTGTGTATGTCCTTAGTTAAAGAACACGAGGCCTGTCCTCAGGATATGACGGGTTTAGATAAGTTCTGTGTCTGTTGGTGTAATATGTGTATTATTGTTTTTGTATGTTTTCATTCAGGTATTTCATGATCTAAATTCACACATTCTTACTTTTTTCTATTTCCCATAATGTGATTGACTCTTTTGGTGAGTGGCGAAATTTGATAGTTATGCTTTCTCAATCTTGTCAACCAAAACAATGACTATTAACTTTTGTGTTTGTAAGTATATATTTGGCACTTAAAATAACTTCATGACTTAAGAAATACATGCATTACTCAATTGTAAGCACCAAAATTACCAAGGTTGAAGAAAGGAAAGCAATAGAATATCATTATAGAAATGTAATTCCTCCAGTATATGAGAATTTTATCAACCACTGTGGGTATGTGTGCTTATAAAACTGTGTAACTCACGACATTTAACACATCACTATGTAATAATAATTTAAAAGTTGGTTATGTTTAAGTAGAAGTCAGGTAAACTGATAAAAACAAAATCTTAATCCTTTCTGGAATAATGATTTACCACATATAAAATAAAATAAATATTATAATACAATATAGATGCAACATGAAAATACATTCTATTCATGCTAGTTCTAACTCCATTATCTTTAGATAAGGCAATGATCCTTTTTCATTGCCTCTCACTTAAAATATTTGGGTATGTTGGATTTGAATAGAAATGAAAATCTTGTACGATAAGCCCTTGATTTTATAAATGAGGAAACAAAGTTTTGAAATTGGTATCCAGTCGCACAGCAGGTTATAAGTGGAGGCAGAGCCAGATGGGGTCCTGCTGATTTTCATGGCATTTTTCACAGTAACATGCTGACCAGAACCCCAAGTGTAGATTCTGAGAAAGGCAGTGCAGGCACATGCTGGAGATAGTGATGAGAGTAGATGCCTTGCTCTGCTTGTACCGTTAAGTAAAGAGAAGAAGCAAGTTGTGACCTTGTGGCAAAATAGGTAGGACCAGGAACTGTGGTTTCCCAGACCAGCTCTACTGGGTGTGTGTGCAAGGTGACCTTTTTAACATGAAGGACAATGTGAGGTAATTATCATTTTAGAAATTGAATCTCATTTTTCAGTTAAGAATCATGCCTAACATTTGTTAGTGTGTACTCTGCGTTTGTTACTACATACTTGCCTTCTCATTTGGTCTTCACGGCATCATGTAAGGTAACAGCACTCCACATAAGAATATTCTAGAAGGGTGAAGGAACATGCTCTGGGTGCCAGAACTCTTGCTCTTTTGATGTTATGTTGCTTCCTCCCTTGATCCACAACTATTATCATATTATAAGATACAACTTGAGAGGAAAAAAAGATGTTATAAACTTGAAGGTTATATATAAAGTTAAGATGGATCCCAGGGCCCTCTACCAAAAAAAAGGGGGGAAGGGGGGGATAACAGGAAAGCAATGAAGGAGCTCTTTAGAATATTGAGAGGTTATTAATTTTAAATATGGAAGATTAAATAGGCCAGATTTAATATCAGCAGTTGATTCTTGAGTCACTGAATTTCAGATTTTCTCAGAATTCTAAGTCATTCATTGAGCTTCAGGTTTCCCCAGAAATTTCAAAATGTCCCAGTTGTATTAAGCAAGTGACTTTGTTCAAGATTCCGTGGGCTCTTTTCATTACATAGGCTTCCATTATTACAAAAGAGTTCTAGAATCCCCATACATTTCCTTAAGATGGCTTCACTATGCAAAAATTCCTCATCTGGATACCTGAAAGTAACTAATGAAAGTTACTTTGCTTACATGTTTATTCAACACTCATTAAGTATGGCCAGAAACGAGTGCTTTGGTTTCTTGAATTTTCTGGTTAACTGAGAATTAACTATAAATGCTTTTTGCTCAGCTCTCAAAAAGGTCTTAAAATATTAAATGGTCTGTATCTCCCAAACAATTTTTTCATTATAATTTAACCTTCCTCTGATTTACAAAATTTTAGGGCCTGAGAGATATGATTTATTTATAAATCATACCATTTTGTTTGTCTTGGTGATTTGTTTCTTGGAGAAATACAATCTCATTTTAACTCCCTAGCCCTTGTATTTTAACCAAGAAATGTTCTCAAATTCTGTAGCTGTCACTGTAGAAAATTTGAATGTGCTGCATTTTGGTGAAATAGCCACTGGCTTTTACTGTATCGTGAGACTGTGACATACATTACGTAGGATGCTGTTACGCAGACTGCAGGAGCATAAAGTGATTTGAGCGCAGAGCCGCTCTGTGTGGTTTCAAATGTATCATTGAATCTCATTGAAGCCATTTCTTACTTTACAAAGTGAGGGTAGGGCTGCCTCCCTCATAGGATTGCTCCAGTTTAAACAGGAGAAAAAGCTTGACAAGCGTTAGCACTCTTTATACACTTTAAGGCACGAACTGTCTTTTTCATGGCTGTTTCTCTTCCATATCATAGAAATGAATGCATTGTGTATAATGCAATTATTGCTTAATAAATATTGATAATGATTGAGGTTATGAAAAAAAAATACTGTCCAGCCAGGAAAAGATGATCACTAAAATCAAATACGGATTCATTAGCCTGGGAAATTGCTTCTTCTGGAGTCAGGTCCATGGTTTGTGATGCTGCTTGGCTCCTCTAAGGCAGTTTTGAGTGTTCTGTCCCCTGCTGTGGCCTTTGTCAGCTTCCCTTCATTATGGAAGTGTGTCTCAACTTCCACAAGATAGCCTATTTAGCCTGGATAATTCTTTGTTTTTTAGGACTGTCCTGTGTTTGTAGGGTTTTTAGCTCTACTTGCAACCTTCACTATAAGATGCTACTAGTGTCCCAAGTAGTAGCAATAAAAAATGTCCCAAACATTGTCTAGTGTCTTCCTGGGGACAGACTTGTTCAGGCTTAGAATAGCAGTATACAAGTTGCTGCCTTGTGATGTAATTGTTGGTTCACCTGGGCACCCCGAACCCTGTGCCACCAGACCGTTGGCCCCTAGAGGGTTGTGCTGAATTACAGCTTCTTCCCACACATGGTAGTAGTCCAGTAAATAGGGAGAGAAGAAAAGGAAGAAACACTTAATAATTAGTTATAATAGTGTGCTACTCCAGTATATGCTGTAGATTTTTGTTTCCTTTTGGATCAAAAGGGCAGGGACTAACTATAACCCCTGGTCTCTTCCTGAAACTGTTAATGCTATTACCATCTTCTCAAGTCTTCTCTCCTTCTCCTCCCATCATTGACAGAATTATGCAGCATCTTCACTCAAAGTATAAAATAATCTGGGATTGAATGCCTGAGTCTGTAGGTTTCAGTCCAGGCAGAGATTAAAGAAACTCCTCTCACTTCCTCTCTCACCCTGGCTCTTACTCTGTAACACCTTCCACACTGGGGCTCCAGCAACCACCTATACCCCCAAAGATCCCCAAATTTTTATGTCTAGCTGAAAGCCTCCCTATTAATTCCAGAATCTTGTATCTTGGACCTACTAGAGCTCTCCTCCTGTGTATTTCATAAGACCCAGAAACAGAAACCTGGTATAGGTAAAACCAAACTTACCATCTTTCTTCCATACCCCTTTTAAACTTTTTTTTTTTTAAAGAGAGAGTGAGAGAGAGAGAATTTTTAATATTTATTTTATTTTTTTTTTAGTTCTCCGCGGACACAATATCTTTGTTGGTATGTGGTGCTGAGGATCGAACCCGGGCCACACGCATGCCAGGCGAGCGCGCTACCGCTTGAGCCACATCCCCAGCCCTAAACTTTCTGCAAAAATTATCCCAGGAATGGCACAGGGGTTGTAGTCAGAATCTTGCTTTGCAACTGATTACTCTGTGACCTTGTGTAGATCTTAGCCTCGTTTTTCTAATCAGGCAAATGAATACCTATCTCCCAGGGTTGTTGTGAGGGCCAATTAGGAAATGTGTATAAATAACTTATATGAGATAATATACATCAGTCACTTAGAAAGCAATGTTTTAACTGGGTGCAGTGGAGCATGCCTATAATCCCAGCAGATTGGGAGGCTGAGACAGGAGGACTGCAAGTTCAAAATCAAGCCTCAGCAATAGCCAGGTGCTAAGCAACTCAGTGAGACCCTATCTCTAATAAAATACAAAATTGGGCTGGGGAGGAGGCTCGGTGGTTGAGTGCCCCTGAGTTCAACCCGTGGTACTCAAAAAAAGAAAAAAAAAGAAAGAAAAAAGAAAGAAAACAATGCTTGGGGCATGTAGCAAATGGCAGATGCTGTTATTATCTGAAATTATGCTTTAGCTGGATACCCAAGAGCCATCTCTTACTCCTGCCCTAACCAGCTCTCTTCCCACTTAATGCATTGCTATCCTCTGAAACTTCCATCTGCCATTTCAACACAATGTGGTCCATCCTTACCCATCTCCAGTGCATGGTTTCATACCAGCCTCCGTCTTTTCTTGCCCAGATTCTTAACCAGTTTTTCCACCTCCAGTTTTCCCATCTGCCTATCTGCCCACTGTTTTGCTATCCAGACAGAGATATTCTTTAGTCTTCCGCTGGCTTATAACTAAGGTCAGCTTTTCAAGCTTGAGGTACTGGCCAATCAGTGCCATCATCAACAGCATCCCAGCGAGCATTAGGACTCTTCCTTGTTTTCCTTTCTTCTCTTTATTGGGCTCATGTCTACTCACCTTTACAACATAGACCCATCATTTCTTCATGTTGGAAGCGACACTTATCCCCCATCACTAAAATTAGAGCTTCTGTCGCTTACTGTTAAGCACTTGCTACAGAGGTATTTTTATCAGTTACCATGCATAACTTTATGTTTCTTGATTGTGTCCCTTGCTGTGAGGTTTTGATGTCTCATTCATTTTGGTTTCTGTAGTGAGTAGCACAAATTCTTGGTATGTTTTAGTCAGCTTTTTCACTGCTGTAACTAAAAGACCTGATCAGAACACTGTAGAAGAGAAAGTTTATTTGGGGGCTCATGGTTTCAGAGGTCTCAGTCCATAGACAGCAGGCTCCATTCCCTAGGGATCAAGATGAGGAAGGATATCATGGTGGAAGAGTATGGTGGAGGGAAGCAGCTCACATGACAATGAGGAAGCAGAGAGAGACTCTATTCACCAGGTACAAAATATATACCCCAAAGGCACACCCACAATGATTCACCTCCTCCAGCCACGTCCTACCTGCTTTCAGTTACTACTCAGTTAATTCCATGGGGGATTAATTCACTGATTGGGTTAAGGCTCTCATTACCCAATCACTTCTCCTCTAAACATTCTTGAATTATCTCATGTATGAACTTTTGGGGGACAATTCACATCCAAACCATAACATGGTGCATAGTTGGTTTTTCCTAAGTATTCATAGTTTAATAAAACTAGGATTCTGCAACATTCAGTCCGTCAGTATAGACTGATAAAATTACAGGAACAAAGTAGAATAAGAATAACTGGATGGAATTAGCCAGGAGAATTGCAAACAAAGAAACCACGCAAATACCTCTGATGGACAAAACCAGTAAATCAGTAGATCCACACAGAAGGTAGAAACTAGGATTGATTAAGATATTCTGTAGTAGGTAGCAGAGGAAGGAAGACTAAAGGGGACTGTGCATGAGGTTGTACTATTCTGTTTTATTGACTCTTGACTTTAAGGAACCTGATCTTTTGAAGGAGAAACATCCAAAGGGGGTGGAAATCAATTCTGACAATATGGAGCTATTTAAAAGGTATGTTTGTAATGTTATTACAAATGAGACAAAGTAATTTTTCATCAAGTGGAGTCCTGCCATTACCTCTGTCAAACATCAGAGGTGGTTTACCGAGGGCAAATGTTTTACATGAGACTCAAGGCCTCTAGGTCAATACACCTTCACATAAGTACCCTGACCAAGGATGACGTTCAGTGGGCCAGACTGCCTCAGGCTTACTTTGCCTCAGCTAGAAAAGGAATCAGCATTTTATCATTTTCTACATAAGCATAAGGTTTAGATTAGTTTGCTTCTAAAAATGATAGTCTCAAGAGTTCTCTTTTCAGGAAGATTATTTCTCAGACCTGTCATATAAAGCAAGGAAACAGTATACAGTTTTCATAGCACTAAGGAGATGGCCAAAACATCATTTAGCAACACCGTTAACCATTTTCAACCAGGATTTCTTCAAGGAAACCCTGTTGTTCTTTTTAGTCCAGGGAACATGCTCTATATTGCCCAAATACATAACTTTAACAATACTATTCGAAGCATCTCTAACCACCATTTACCTGTTGCTATCTCGTCTTACCTTTGGAGGAAGGAATTTTCTATCTTGAACTTACAAACTGAGTATCATATTCAGCTTTTTGATAGATTAGAATAATGAATATATTTCCATTCCTACTTTTCACACATTGCTTTG